GTCAGCACAGAGCCCAACACGGGGCTCGAACTCACAAGCCGTGACATCATGACCCGAGCCAAGACCAAGAGTCAGATGCTTACGGACTGGGCCACCCACGCGCCCCTCTGTCGGGAATTTTGATACGTTGGTGCTGTTCAGGGCGGAGGAAACAAGATAACCTCCCAGCAGAAACGAAAGGGAAGAGAGAGCTGGACAGTACTGCTTACCGCCAGGGCGAGGAGGGAGACGCCAAGGCCAACCCGGAAGCAGTTTCCGTGGACCCGGCAGGTGGAAGAAAGAGCAAGGGGGGGCTGCCTACACTTCAGGTCTGGTGACGTCTGCTGTCAAGGGCGGAGCTGCTCTGCAAACCTGACGCATCCCAAAGCACTACAGATCTCAGGCCTCGAAGCTCCAAGCTGCAGCACAATTTCCTGGACGGCCCGATCTCAGCACATCTCTTCGCAGGAACTGTGAACTGTGACCTACTCTGCTTCACCCCTACCTGCCATTACTACCCCTGGGTCCCTCGTCCCCCGGCCTCAGACTGTCACATGCAAACACCGTCTACCTGCTACCTCCCCAGCGTGAGTCCCGCTCACTGGGAACAAAGCTGTCTCTTGGCTCACCTGTGGTCTCGCTCTGAGACTATCAACACTAGATGAGCGAATGTGGATGTGCACGAGTGTTGTAGGAAAACGTCTACATGGAACGTTTTGTGGCTGTTGCTCATTTCGTTAGCGTTTGATGATTCTGATTCACAAAGACGAGAGGGAACTGGTGTCATCGTACCTGAGAAGCTTCCCAGCCTGGGCGCGGTCATGTCCCCTCCGTCGTAAATCTCCAGAGAGTCCCAGTTCTGCTCCGTGGCAAAACTGATCACTTGAATCTAGCAAACAACAGTGTTCAGTCACTAAGTATTTTCGGTTTAAAGAAATTTGCCTGATCATGCAGGGTTTTTCCTTGAAACTTAATACATACACCAAAGAGAAAGGTGAAACCCCACAAAATAAACCACGAAGCGACATTTGCAAATTTCTACAAACGGCACTTTGGGCAGCTTTTAGCCCCCAAATCTATTGTTTTTAATCCCAAGTTTAGAAATGTGATTAGAAACATGTTGTAGAAGAAGTAAGAAAAGGGAAACAGGTTATGGTTTAAGTATTTAAAAATAACCAACGCAAACAAGAAAACAAACACAGAAAGCAAGCCCCGTGCATTCAGGAGCTCCGGGCTAGAGGGGCTTACCTGGATTCCTGATCCCTCCGTAACTATGATTTTCCAGATACAGTTTAAGTTGTTACCATATGGTTCAGGATAGCCGGGGGATAAAATTGTACCTCTGCGCTGAGTGAAATTGCCACTGCAGGGGACTAAAAGACAGAACCGTATCTCATAAAAATAAAGTACAGCAAAGGACAGCATTAATTTCATGCTTAGCGTTTCTTTGCTGTGTGATCAGATATTAAGAGACATTTGACACGGAGTATGGTCCTTTCAATGGCATGTGGTGGCCAAGGTCAAATTCAGTCTATCCTCTTACCAATTCCCAGTATCATTGATTATTGCCTACCATAGTACCAAGGTTTACAGATCTGGTGTCTAAAAGCAAACCTCTTCAGGCTAAGAAGGGGCTGTACCTGACAGTGACATCTCAGAAGTGAATCCTGTTCAGAATAATTTTATCCGGATGATTTAAGGAGCTTTGCAGACTATTGCCTTCCATATGTAGACAAGCAACCCCAAATGAGAGTAAGGGGATTTATGAGCAAATCCGGGGAGAAGAGACGCTGAAAACGTACAAGTGAATTCAAGACCTCATCGCGACTGCTCTCGAGGTTGTCACGCAAAATGAAAGAAATAAACTATAACTAACAAGGCCATTGTTATTCGGGCGGCATTAACCTGTTATTTTCAAGCCTTCATCAGCACAAATTTATTAAGAGGACATTACGAGACAGCAAATCAACATTGTAACGATTCTTCCCCAAAAGGAAATTATGCTTTATACCCAGGGCTTGAGAGTTAATGGCGTACTCGATAGGTTTTGTACAACAAAACGTGTTTCATCCTCGTTAATCTAATGAGTTGTTTCATGAGACACAGTGACTTTTAGCGTGGAGCCGCTCCGCCACTATTTCAGAGGAAACACGTTGCTTTTTGAACAGGTCTGGAGCGGGATCAGGCTGTGCACACTCGACGTGAGCATCAGAAGCTGCTTCGTCCAGCTGTGAAGCTGGAGGGAACAGCCTTGTGCACGCTGTCACGCCTTGTGGACACACGCACGCCGTCACACCCGCGGGCACACACGTTGTCACACCCGTGGGCACACGCACTGTCACACCCGCAAGCATGCACGCTGTCACACCTGTGGACACGCATGCCGTCACACCCACAAGCACACACACCGTCACACCTGCGGGCACGCACGTTGTCACACCCACGGGCATGCACGCTGTCACGCCTTGTGGACACACGCACGCCGTCACACCCAGAAGCACACACACCATCACACCCGCGGGCAGATATACCATCACACCCGCGAGCACGCACGCCGTCACACCCGCGGGCACACTTACCCACGCAGCTCGGGATTGTGTCGTTCCACTGAGCTAACGCGTTAGGCACGGACTGGCAGCGGATGGCGGTGGAGCCCTGAAGGAGGTACCCCGGGTTGCACTCAAATCGAACAATCGAACCGGCTGAGAACTCGGAGCCAATTCTCCGTCCGTATCTGGGCTCAGGGACAGAGCTGCACTGGGTATCGCTGGTTCGAGGGACAGCTAGAAGCAAACACACAACACGGCCATCGGTGTCTTCCCGGGGAAGCCCCACCATTTCCTTGGAAAAGGAGTCGAGAGAGCCCAGAACGAGTTTATGTTAATACAGAAATCAGTAATGCCTTCCGCAGGTTCTAGAGGGAACGATGTGGGGAGCGCTTCCATACCTGCATCCAACCTCTTACCAACCCCAAGGACCGCCTTAGAGTCTCCTTTCAGAGGAGTTAAACGCGGCATCAGGAGCATTGGCGCCTTATGAGGCCTGAGCTATACTATATGCAGGCAATTAAAGTTAATTAAGCGCCCAAATCACTGTGCTCATGATAACGAGGTGCCTCAGAACTTGTACTTACCCTCAAGGACCTTAGAGTCTAGTGAGTATAATATGGCTATTGTGATGTAATAACAAAATTAAAAACACAACTACTGGATGACCCGGCACTTCCGCGAATGCATCCCACTTCTGCGGATATATCCCCCAAAACACTGAAATCAGGATCTCAAAGACCTGTCTGCACCCACGTGTCCACCACAGCCTTCTTCACAGTAGCCACGCTGTGGAGACAACCTAAGTGTCCCATCAGTGGGTGAAGGGATAGAGAAAACGTGTTACGTCCATACAATGGAACACCGTTTAGCCTTAAAACAGAAATAAATGCTGCCATTTGCAACAACACACGTGTTCCTTCCACCTCTGGATAAAAGTCAAGATGGCCAACCACACGGCCCACCCCCCCCCCCCCAACAGCCCCTCTGGCGAAGCAAAATCACACTGCCTTTAGCCCCGTCCCAAATCACCTGGCACAAACCTCAATCCCATAACCAGCCCCTCCCAGAACTCCCTTTCTGAGACACCCCCAGGGTCTCCCTGGGCTGTGGTTTTCGTTGAGGTCTGGTCTTCGGCTGACAGTCACGGGCAGGTGAGCCTCGTTCCAGTGCGAGGTGAGGGGTCTGTTAAGTTGTATACTGGAATCTACTGTCTGTGAGACATTGTTCTGCTTCCCAAAAGGGGCACAGGGTAAAGTTTGGAATATACTTCAGCTCGCAGAGACATCTGTTACTCCAGAACAACTCGTTGAGAAACAGATCCACAAGGTATGGGCATGAAAACTCCATGATCTGTTTTTATTCTCTGCAGCTAAAGGCCGTTTGTATGTATCGTGTCCAGGATCCTCTTCAGTCTGTGCATTTTTTCATCCAACGGTGCCCCCCTCTGACAGTGTGCTCGCGTCCGTGTTTTCCCGAAGAACAGTGCTCCATGTTCACACTGCTTTTCCTAACATGGGGACATCAGGTTTTGCATTGAACCTGACCAGTGACAGGAAGCATCTGAGTAACTGCTCCTAAGAAAGCAAGTCTACGAGACGGAGTCAGAAGACGATTCTGACGCAAAGTTAATAAAATTATATACCAAGCACTACAGTTGAAACAATGATACATCAGAATGGCTCTTTTTTAGAAGTAAAAACAGAATGCAGAATAACTATATCATAATAAAAATTGCTGAAAATTCCTATTTGTCATATTTATAGGTCTCAGCATTTTGGTGCAGTTGAACAAGAAGCATGAGGGCCAAAGAGGAAATAAATAAAGACCATCCCATGGAGGCGTCAGTTCTCAAGTGTTTGCTGCTGCTGTTACCAAAATGGAGAAATGTCTCCAATGGCAATTTTTTTCCTTGTCCTGAATTACACGAAAAACACCCGGCTACTGATAGCAAACGCTGCACGCTTATCTAAGAAGCCTCAAACACAGTGACGTTTCTATTTCTAAATGTAATTTTTTTTCTTTAAGTTTATTTATTTTTTTGGGACAGAGAGAGACAGAGCATGAACGGGGGAGGGGCAGAGAGAGAGGGAGACACAGAATCGGAAACAGGCTCCAGGCTCCGAGCCATCAGCCCAGAGCCTGACGCGGGGCTCGAACTCACGGACCGCGAGATCGTGACCTGGCTGAAGTCGGATGCTTAACCGACTGCGCCACCCAGGCGCCCCTCTATTTCTAATAATACATTAATATTTAATAAATATGCGAGCACTTTTTCCAGGGCATCACTGCCACTCCAGGCCCCGTACACGGGGACAACACACCATCAAGGGTCACTCAGACACAGGCCACTATTCAGCCTTTCCTCATGAACTTCACGGTTGTCCTTTTTTAAGGAAACGAAGATAAATGAACAACACCTACATCTGGGCGATATTATGAAGGTTGTTCTCTAGAGGAAGAAGTTTCCCCAGTGAGGAGAAGAACAATTTTAAGTCTCTGGAAAGTGGGGCCGAAGCAGGCACAGACGACCTCAAACGTCCATGCACCGTCTGGGGAGCATCCAACAGCATTCAGCCACTTTCCCTGTCGGCCCATCCTCCGGTCCCTGCCCTTCACCTGGATGTTTCGGGCAGCATCAGGGAGAAATTCCGTCCTCTGTGGTTACTACCCTGTATCTTTTAGTCAATGTTTCACACTGCGGTGAAGCAAGAGGGGAATCAGCCCAGCGGAAAGCGAACAGGGACTGAGGTCGGCTCAGGAGAGAAGGTGCCGGACTGAACGATGAGTGACGGCCACAGCAGGTGCTCTGTGCTGGTGCGGGGGCTGGGGGCTGCTCTCGGGCTTTCAGAGCACCCACCGCGAGGGGAAGCCAGAGCCTAATGTCACGTGGTGGGTCCTTCGCCCAAAGCCACTGCCAGAGCTCAGCCCAGGTCTGCGCACGCGGCTCCTTCACCGCCCATCTTTCAGAGCAGGTATGACGACAAAACCAGACACCGACAATAACCTAGTAACAAACCTGAATGCCCGCAGCAGTCACTTGGCCAGTCTAAGGGAGGCTGGCTTGCCTGTTTCTTTAGTGATGGGGGATATTTTCTATTTCTCAAAATCATTCTGTTTGGGTAGCTGAAAAATCGGATTCGACAAGCCATCACTCGTCAGTGAATTCAAGCATACATCACTGAATTATGAACAAAACTTTACGCTCAGTCTTTTTTGTAAGAAGTATGCATTTTATAAGCTCTTTAAACAAAATGCGAGTCTCTTCGAAGTGGAAAACCTTATAATTTATGTCATCTAAAAGGAGATGAGGTTTGGGGAAAATCAGTAAAGACATGTACTTCAACAACTGGGAAGGACCTCACGGGGAAATTTTCACGTCAATTTCTTTCTAACCAAACTCAGAAAAAGTGCTTCCTGCTTCCAGGTTGTTTATCTGTTTATTTCACTGCTAAGGGCAGTGAGTCTTGCTGTAGGAGGTAGGAGGTAGGAGACCCTGGGACAGGAAAGCCCCAAGCTAGTGAATCTGGGAGACCGGGAGGCCAGAAGGCCAGGAAGCGGGAGGCTGCTTCAGATGGGGATCTGGAATGGAGCTGTCCACACAGCAAATGTGTCCAGAAAGACGGAAACTCGGCCAACTGACACTTGTACGTTGTGCGCTCAGGGGAAGCTTGATATAAACACACGGCCTCCTTTCCCCCCTGAAATATTCAAGATGTCCTACCTGGTTTACTAGCTTTGGTGTGAATGACTTATTTTGAGAGAACTTAATGAAGTGCTGAATCCTGCATGGAAATACCCAAGAAAAATGGATGATCTGTGCAAACAGCCAGGCACAAATATAAGAGAGTTAAAAATAGTAGTACACTCATGAGACACTGTCGACTGCCGAGTTTAATATAGACGCATTCAGTCACGTGCACACACAGAGCATGGCGGGGGTGGGGGGGTTGTGCAGATGGTTTTTAACCACCCTGCCATAAATTAGCATGTGCCTCAGAGTAAGCAGGAGAGGACAGGAGACTTATCTGCTCTGCCTCAGTCGTCTCTGTGGCCACGCACGTCGGCTCTTGTGTTGTTTCCAATATTGCTAAGGTTGATTCTGTTATTAAAAGGTGTGTATTTGGGGCACCTGGGTGGCTCACTTGGCTCAAGGTCAGACTTTAGCTCACGTCATGATCCTGTTCGCGAGTTCGAGCCCCACGTCGGGCTCTGTGCTGACAGCTGAGAGCCAGGAGCCTGCCTTGGATTCTGTTTCTCCCTCTCTCTGCCCCTTCCCTGCTCGTGCTCTGTCTGTCTCTCTCTCAAAAATAAATAAACATTAAAAAAAAAACCTGAAAAAAAAGTGTGTATTTGGAGCCCCCCAAAAATCTACAAATGCAACATAAGCACATCATAATATAGACTAAAAGGGCTCTTCTAACACCAGAGGAACCAGACTGTGCTCAATTTATTAAGGAACAGTAGGTGAGTGTTCCACATGGTGGGTTTCTTAGGGTGACATGAATTTTGATTTTCTCGCTGCCCCCAGAATACACTGACTTTACGTGCGATCCATTTTCTGCAGAGTGCCAAAGATTATCAAAATGTGCAGAATCCCCTTTGCTGACTGCAGTCCTGCCAGTGTGTAGGTCTGGGAGCTCAGGGAGGGAGGGCTCAGGAATCGCTGGGTGCTGGGGGAGGAGGGAGGGGACACCCTCTCCAGGTTGCCTGAAAGGAAATCCAAGAAGCCACTTGAACGCATTCACATCGGAAAGCGAGGCGTGCTCCTGCCGTGTCTTCAGGGAACTTTGTTTATGTAGGACAAACATCAACAGCGGTCCAGTTGGGAAACCGAAATGTTAGCACAGCCCCAGGGACCCTCACACTCCAGGAGAATCTCCAGATGTCTGTTCCTGGTAGGTTCTACCAACAGCTTTTGCTTCTCGAGTCAACTGTCACATCGCCGAGGTGTGTGGTGGCAGAATGCAAGGGGGATGCAAGGTGGCCCCAGGAGGAATGACTCCTGAGCCACCTGCTGTAAAAGGTGCCTGCCTGTCACTGAAATGCACCATGTCTTCTCTGTCTCCGTCCACACTACTGCTTGTAGGACCCGTGACCTGGAAAGTAGTTCCTCCACCCCGAGTAGATAGCGTCCTTGAGTTTTTAATTCAATAGCACCAAGCAGCTGGACGCAGGGCTTCACAGGTACTGAGTCGTCACTGACAAACTAATGTGGGACATAAAGCACCGGGTTAGGAAGGGATCCCCTCCATTCGCCTCTTTTGGGGTGCTCGTGGGTCCTAACTCACTGTCTTTCCCACTTCTGACCTTTCAAATCGACCCTTCTGCCTCTAAGGGGTGTGGAAAGCAAAGGAAAACCAGCAAAGACATAAGTTAATTAGGACACTTTGTAAAACAAAGTCTACGTCCATTTCTCCACAGGATCAGAAAGATGGAAACATCTTCATTACTTAGGCCTCATTATTAAGCAGGCGGCAGGGAGGGCCGGGGAGTGGAGCGCAAGAGGCAGTGATGCTGGAATGACTGGGTCAAGTCCGGGTTCCCTGCACCCTGACCTCGCTACCTACTTTGCCACCGATGTCTCTAACAGGTGCAGAAACTCCCTGTGCAATTTAAAGCTTTAGTAACTCAGGAAAGAATGAAGCCGTAAGTGGTATTTGAACGCACTATTCAGAAAGTTTTTATACAATGGATTTCAAATAATTTCTTGGCTCCCACGTAACCAGCATCTTTCAGAAAGTAATATTCAATTTAACTTTTCAGATGTATTGAAAACGTCCCCAGGTGTTCTCAAGTGATTTATAAACTGCATTCATGATTCTAGTTCTTTGCTTCCAAGGGATTTAGCTTTGATAAAAAGACAATTTTTGCATAAACTCACTATAGAAACAAAAAGCAAGAAAAGGAGGTATATTGAGACTTTATAAAATATTGAGGGTGTTAGAGTCATTATATACTCTTAAGGACAAGGAAAACATATTCCTCCTATAAATGATTTTCTTTTCTTACCAGTTTTCTGTTTTCATTCATTTTAATGGCGATATGTTACTTGAAGCCAAGAAACATACCTTTTAAAGTCGTGACTTCTGAGGACAGTATTTGTAAGTAGGATAGAGTTAGGGTCATTTGCCTCAGATATTTTATTCGGTGTCTAATCTTTATCAAAAAGGAAGGAAAGCCCCTTATCAAGACAGTCCATGTCAGTAGCTTAAATGTCTCCAGGTTAAAAAGTGTACTTAAGGTGCTATTCCTTCTCATTCCTTTACACATCATCTTGTTCCTGAGCAGTGAGGTTTTTATGATGAAATATTTTATAGTTTATAGATTTTAGGAAAACGTTTTGAGGGCATGGGTCTTGCAGCGTGAGAGTATTAGAAATGAGTTGTAAGTGAAATGACAGATTGCTATCTTCCGTAATTTTTTTTTTATTTTTTTACAAACACTATGATGTCAAGCTCGTTTTCCAAAGTCTTTAGCAAAGGACAGAAGCTACTGACACTTGGGGCTCCCCGGCCACTTGCCACTTCCGAGGAAAAGAGCTAAGAGGGGCGAGTAATCTCTGTAGTCTCGAGCAAAATTGAGACCTGGAAAGACTAAGTCTTTCTTCCTGTTTTGGAACACACAGTTTATCCGCCAAGATGGTAATCTCTCTCACATCTCAAGCTTCACGGCCATTACAACCTACATCCAAAGACCCGCTCTGTGCTTCTGAAAGTGTATAAACAGTTGACATGGATTTTTGTCAAGTTCATGCACTGAACAGACAAGACAAAGGTAGACTCTAGAGATAGAAAACAAAACAATCCTCATTGTTTAGAAACTTTGCACAACCTCAGACATTTTGAATAAGCTCCAATTTCAGAAATATATATAAAGGTGTCAAGGTGCAAAAGTTAGCAGAACACAGATAAGACAAAATGGGTGTTTAGAGTCACGGAGGCACGGACGGTATTTTGGGTTTTGTTTGATTTCGTTAAGTTGCCTTTTCGACTTCCTTTTTCACGGGAAGATGTGTAATTGTAAAATGTGCTTTAAATGTATTTCACGAAAGCAGGTACTGCAATCTAAACTTTTATGAGACACTTGACTGAGTTACATAAACTATAATATGCATGCAATCCTTTTGCAAAGTATAAAGTGCCCGACAAAGGGGATTTGATCAGTAAGTGTTTCCTGATGATGCCAGATAAATGAGGTGTCACTGTGTCTTTGCAGGAGAAATATCGTATATATTTAAGTGTCAGAAAGCAAAATTGTGATATTTTTATTACATCGTTTTATTATAAACATATGAATACCTTCAATTTCCTAAGTATTGAAAAACACACAATGCAGAAATGGCTAGTGCTTTAACTGAAAACAGCAGTATGTCTGATGTTGGGGAGGGCAGAGCAGTGTGCTCAGTGACCTTTGACCCTTACCTTGGTAAACAAAGTGGAAACCCCGGGCAGATGAACCGCTCTTTGCACTGAATCTGAGAAGAATCTGATTTGATGTCGCCAATGGCAATGTTTCACCTAACGAAGAAAACCGGAGGTAATTAGTGGGATCCGTAGAATACACTGTGGGGTGGTGGCAAATATTTTGGAAAATAACTATTAGTAACTCGGAATTTCACTCTCAGCTGTTGTACTCTTATCAGATCTCCCTTTGGGTTTAGGACCCAGACGCATTGTTTCTATCAAGATTTTAAAACTGGTCTTGCCTGTTCGTTCTATTAAAATGTGGATTTAATCAATATCTCACTTATGCTTCCTTCTGAAGCAGGCACTGATCGTAAGTCTGTTAGCTGACAAAGCGGGAAATACAAGAATCAGATTTATCAGTAGCTCAGAATCAACTTTATTTGACAGTTACTTGCTAGGATTTTACTTCAATTAAGAAAATTAAGAAAATCTGAATCTAAACTTGTTTAAAAATACTAAAGCATTTAGATTCAGAAAAAATAAAAAGCATTTAGATTCAGAACTAAAAACTAAAGCATTTAGATTCAGAAAAAATATATTTATGAAATATATTTTTACCTTTTAAAGTACACCCACTATACAGGAATGGTCTCTCTCACGTGCCACTAAGGAGCATATGAATGACATAAGCATTTCAGAGGTGAATTTGTCAATAGGTAACAGTACTTTAAATCTGTATCTTCTGGGGGCGCCTGGGTGGCTCAGTCGGTTAAGCTTCCGACTTTGGCTCAGGTCATGATCTCAAGGTTCGTGGGTTCGAGCCCCACATCGGGCTCTGTGCTGACAGCTAGGAGGCTGGAGCCTGCTTCGGATTCTGTGTGTCCCTTTCTCTCTGCCCCTCCCCCACTCAGACTCTGTCTCTGTCTCTCTAAGATAACATAACATAACATAACATAACATAACATAACATAACATAACATAACATAAATCTGTATCTTCTGATGCGTTTCTCGACGTTCTATCATCGGACATTGGCAGAAAAGAACAAGACATAGGTCTTAAGGACCTTGGTTAACAACAGTGAAAAACAGGAAACAATCAAACTTAGTCTTGGTTGGCAAGAGTGTGTGATCCACACGCACAACTTGACTTTGGTCAGGGATGACAACGCAGTGACTGCACAAACCTTGCAGTTTGCCCAGGGTTCCAATCCACGAGGGGCTAATTAAATTGTGCTGCGCTAATCAACTGAATCCTGTTCAGCACTGAAATGAATCACTTTCGGTCTATATACTTTTTCGTAGGGAAAGAACTGCAGATGTGATTTTCAATAAAAGTGCGGCGTACAAAATGAGTTTGAAATAGCATCCCATTTTATGCAGCCCCACGTACGTTTACGCGCATTTACACACACACACATTCATCTGTGTATGTGTATACATGTATGCACCCGTGTACTTGTGGGAGGGTGATGAATCTCTATACGCACGTATTTAAAGGTTGGCAAGGATTGAGACCACAATATTGATACTGCTTATCTCCAGGAAGATTAGGGGACATAGGATAGAAAACAGAACACACAAGATCATTTATTATCCCTTCTTTTCAGATATTTTCCTTTGTTCTTGAGACGGATATTGTATTTCCTACAACCTTAGTAAGTAAAATGATGGTCAGTGGTTTTATATCTGAGATAAACATACAGTTGAAATTTTATATCGAAGATACAATGTTATTAAGTAGGCAAGCAAATTCAAAGATGATTGCATTTCTCCCTCATTAAAAAAGAGAAAAAAAGACAAGTTTAAAATGAGTGACCCTGGCTGTCTAAATAAAATTAAAGATCAAATGCTTTGAATGTTTACCTGAATGTGACCCGGAGAGAGAGCTGAGAAGTCTGGCCTGTGGGTGTGTCCCATCAAATAATTCTGCCAAATCATTCAGTGCCGTCTGGAAATAGGCGAACTGTCCGAATACGACTGCAAAATAAAGGGGTGGGTGGCACAACGCTTATTAAAAAATACAGACACGGAGTCTTACACCACCTATGTACCAATTCCTCTCAAGGATCATGCTCCTAAGATTCCTGCAGACAATCATGAACTGGTTTCCCCGGCTTTCTAAGAGTTTTCAGTGGCTTAAACAATTTTATTTTGCTTCTCAGTGTCTTGAAACATAATAAAAGGAATAGCATTACTGTTCCCACTCTGTTTGAATATTAAATTTTTTTCTGGAACTACATTAGGATAATACAAGAATAGCCATAAAGCTGCCCCATTATTTAAGAGCAGTTAACGATGTTTCGTTTCATGTACAATAGGTACAGGGATCAAGACAATTCTTGGTTTTAAAAACATGCCAGTTTGGTGAAGAATTTAAAATTGTTCACTTGTTATTACAAGGTGAAATTCACGTGAACTCATTGCGATTTACACACAGGTCAGCAACATACCATAGAGATGTTTATTATGACCCCACCACACAATTTTATTTATCTCATGGGTGATATAAATAGCAAGAACACACCTCCTCCAAGGAATACATTACTGTGCATTTCAGCACTTCAAACTTCATAAACTTTTTCACTCAAAGTGACAATATATAGGCCTCCACAATAGTTAGAAACACCTGTGATTTAGTATATAAGCAAGGAGCGACTAATTCTTATTTATGTGCAAGGTTTAAACTAAAATTATTCTCATTCTGCATAAGAAATGGATATGTATGTATCAATTATACATGTCAGATTCTAATGAACTAATGTGTTGGCCAAATGGAGGGGAATCTAACTGTAATAGCTTGTGTGTGTGTGTGTGTGTGTGTGTGTGTGTTTTAGATATGCTATATATTCTGTCACACACATGTATTACATATATAAACATGTATGTATAATATGCACCATGTACAGTATGCACGTAATAGAGTATACATACACATACATACATGTATTTTAAGATTTTATAATTCCTTTATAATTTTCTAGAGATAAATAAAGGAAGCATGTAAGCCAGGAGGACTTTCCCAATGGATGAACTGCTCTAAAACAAAGAATTAGAAAGAGGAAGGGAATTTTATGATTTCAACATGGTTCTGGCTCATACAATTCCTTTCTCATAGCAGCCCCCCTCCCCCAGTAATGAAATCTTCATCACGTTGGAGGCAGGACGCTTGGGTCTTTTAAATAGCACAAAAGTGAATCACAGACATGTAATTTCAAGAAACTTTTAGAACCAGAATTTGAAGATGATCCAGAGAGAAACATGGTCCCAGGACCGTCACGTGCCAACGTGCACTGAGCTCCTCTCAACAAATACGGGTGTGGGTCTACATGTTGGCCAAGATGAGGCTTCTCTGATGAGCTGCTTGGGCGGAGCTCAGACCTATGACTGACTCTGCCCCAAACGGGCAGCCAAGACTGACAAGTGCTCATGGCCACGGGGTCTCCCTGGGGGAGAGTCCATGTCTCATAGTGGGGAGAGCAGTGTCGCTTCCTTGAGGCATGAGAAGTTAAACCACTTGGGGGGAAGAATGAAGGGCAGGGAATTATTTCAGTACGTGAACATTGAAAGCAAAACTTTGCAGGTGACAAATATGGCAAAAGGCCTGGTGTGGCAGGCGCTCAGTGGGTAAGAGACAAGGAGGGGATTGGAAAGCAAAAGCCACCGCAACCTGAGACTTTAGGACCTAAAAACGTGGGGTTTTCTTGTGGGCAAAATGGGAGTGAAAAATGTGTATCAAGGTGTTTCCGTGATCAAAGCTTTGTCGTAGAAAGGTATTTTGGTGACGCTTTGGGTGAAAACAGGGAGAGAATTGGAGTATCTGAAGACCTGTGTTCACCACAGTCATGCCTCTTCCCACCTAGTGACGCCCACACCTTGAGCTAATGTGGCACTTAAAAAGTGGGCATTTTAGGGCACAGACTATGTTTTGTTCATCCTGGCCGTTATCACAATTGTTTGTTATTATCATTATTATTATTATTATTATTTTAGAGAGAGAGAGAGAGATAGTGACAGAGAGAGCACATGAGCAGGGTAGGGGCAGAGAGAGAGGGAGAGAGAGAATCCCAAGCAGACTCCATCCTCAGCACAGAGCCTGACGTGGGGCTCGATCCCATGACTCTGGGATTATGACCTGAGCAGAAATCAAGAGTCGGACATTCAACCAACTGAGTCACCCAGGTGCCCCCAAAATTGTTGAACTGATTTATTTCCCAGGAGAGAGTAAGGAAAAGAAGAAAGATAATACAAGATAAGGCAGTATAGATTTCCATTTAATCCTCTGTGCAACTATTTTAATTTCAAATTAAAATTTAAATTAAAATTTTCTGCCTGGATAGAATGTGATAAATGTATATCTTTAAACATTTCAGACTGGGAAACTCTGATCAATATTTAGGATAGAGGTGTGACTTTTTTTTTTATCTGTTGGGAAATCATAATTGTGTTGTGACAATTCAATAAATTTTGAAATAAACTAAAATCATAGAATATGGCTGCTATATTCCATTGTGATAAATATGTTCTACCGTTTATCTATGAACAAAAGTAAAAGCAATAGGAAAGTAACTGGAGGATGTCGTTAAGCACTTAGGTGGAAAAAACGAATTAACGGGAGCTGAAGAAGTGACATTAGTTTAAAGGAAATGGTCAAGCAAAAAGAGTGAGAATCAGGAGCTATTCTAAGTTTTATTGTTTGTTTATTGTAGCAAAGTAGATATTCTGAAGCCCTCTCACTTTTTAAATGAGAGTAACAGCTGTCGCTCATTCAGAGTAAGTGAACCAGCCCTTTGCCTGGTGGGGAGCTGGTCCCCCTGCCCTGGTCTCCACGAGCAAGTCCATCATCTCTTAAACACCAAGGAAAGCCCAGCCCGAAAAGCCCACAGTCTTGAGTACTGGCCCAGGGTAGACACTACATGGTGTGTGGTAAAATAGCAAGCAAGTTCGTCACACGGTTCATGAAGGGCCCGTGACCTAAAACACCTAAGGCTAAAGTAAGTTCCTGGTGAAGGTTTTTGTCAGTTTTGAAGAGGCCTGTAGATAATAAATAGAGTAAAACCTTGGTTTGCCAGCATAACGCCTTCTGGAAACACGCTTGTCATCCAAAGCGCTCGTATATCAAAGCAAATTTCAAGGACCACTGGCTCAGCTGTGATCATGTGACATCGGGCGTCACGTACGACTTGTGTTGTGAGACCTCGCTCATTTACCAAGTTAACATTTATTAGAAATGTCTGCCCATCTTGTGCAAACGCACACGCGCAGAACTTACTTGCCATCCAGAAACTGTCTCCCGCGTGCCAATTTCTTACCCAACAAGTAACTTACTTGTGTTATAATTGTACTTTCCAAAAGGTTTTCCCTCAAACAGATTCTAGCCTTAGAATCTTTATCTGCTGTCTATGAGTGGATGGCTGCTACATTACATGTAAAGAAAAAAAACAAAACTTAGCCATGTAGGGTTTTCACTGTACCACTGGGAAAAAAAGAACCTGGTCTATAAAGTTATAAAAACGACTATCTGGTTTACTCCAGAAAAGAACCCAAATCAAAGGAAATGTCCGTGGTCAAGAGTGAGATTGGAGGTGTGGGAATCCAGCTCTGGGAAAAGTGCAGACCCAGCAGGAAGGCCCTTCTAGAGAAGAAGCCAGGCGGAAAGCTGGCTCAGATTGGAAGCGAAGTTCAGGAGGGAAATTCGTAAGCGAGGTGTCGTGGGGTCACATGGGGATCTTCCCGCTTTTACATCTCTACCTACTCGAAGGTGAGCTCACTGATCCGGTGACTTCCGTCAGCATCGGACTGAGAAATGCAGGTGCAGACTGGTATCCAGTGTTCCCCTGGCCCACCTCACTTGGCCATCCTGCCTCAAAAAAAACCAGTTTCTAACAAAGGATGAGTCAAGCCAAACTGATTCTCTCTGATTATTCTGGATCAGAATCTTAGAAGAAAATTTACGCATTTTACATGACATTGATAAAATAACTGGAATGGATGCTGTGTACGTTTAGAAAACCTGTTGCTTTAACACAAGTCGTCTTCTTTTATAGTTTTTATTATAGTCAGAGCCGAAAGATTTGTTTATATGACAGAAAAACTAACATCGAAACAAATATGACCACGAATAAAACATTAAAGAAAGAGAAACTTACCAAACTCCTTTGGCACCGTTATGGAGTAGAGGCATATTTGACCGGCCGTGTAATTATGAGGGTAGTTTGGTGACAAAACGACCCCTTCGGACCCCGTGTACTGGCCTCCGCAGGGAGCTGCAAGAGGGAGTAAGCAAACAGCATGTGCAAAACCATCGCCACACCTGCTCGCGAGGGGCGGGGCTGCAGGAGGATGAAAACACTGAGGAAATGAGCATCTCACCTGGTTTGTTCAACAGTTTAACAAAGGGGGGGGG